TATTCGGTTTGATGAAACGATCAAAACGTTTGATTTTCATAAGAATCCGGATGAACCATGTGTTTATAAGAAGGTTAGTGGGAGTGCAGTTACATTTGTTGTTCTATATGTTGATGACATCCTACTCATTGGGAATGATGTAGGGATGTTGCAGTCAACTAGGACATGGTTGTCAAAACAGTTTTCCATGAAAGACTTGGGAGAAGCATCCTTTATCCTAGGGATAAAAATCTATAGGGATAGATTTAAACGGATGATCGGACTATCCCAGTCGACGTACATAAATAAGGTGCTACAACGGTTTAGCATGGAAGAATCCAAACGAGGATATATTCCAATGAGTCATGGGATTTCTCTTTCTAAGACGATGTCTCCAAAGACACCTGAAGAAAGAGAACGGATGAGTCATATACCTTATGCATCAGCTATTGGTAGCATTATGTATGCAATGTTATGTACAAGACCTGATGTGGCTCATGCACTTAGTGTAACGAGCAGATATCAGTCTAATCCAGGTGAAGAACACTGGAAAGCCGTTAAGATGATTCTTAAGTACTTACGAAGGACTAAGGATATCTTTATGGTATACGGCAATGGAGAACTGAAACTAGAAGGCTTTACTGATTCTGGTTTTCAGTCCGATAAAGACGACTATAAATCCATGTCTGGATACTTATTTACTCTGAATGGAGCAGCAGTTAGTTGGAAAAGTTCCAAACAAGAAACAATTGCTGACTCTACGACAGAGGCTGAATATATTGCTGCATCTGATGCTGCAAAAGAAGCTGTTTGGATAAGGAACTTTATCCAAGGGTTGGGTGTAGTACCATCCGTTGTTGATCCAATAATGATTTATTGTGATAACAATGGGGCTATTGCGCAAGCAAAGGAGCCAAGATCTCATCAAAAATCCAAACACATTATGAGGCGATACCATTTGATTAGAGAAATCATTGGTAGAGGCGATGTCGTGATGGAGCGAGTCGACTCAGCAGAAAATATAGCAGACCCCTTAACTAAACCCTTATCACAGAAAGTGTTCGAAGGACATCTTGAGAAGATGGGTCTTAGATACATGAGTGATTGGAACTAGGGCAAGTGGGAGATTGTTAGAGTAGGGTACCCGGCGTTCCAATCTAATTGGACGTATTCTACTTGTAAATACAGTCTATTGGAATTATATTATGAATAAGGCATTTCTTTATCTTAAGAGAAAGCATTTATCTTATAATTGCACTTAAGATAAAATCCCTAGATCACTTATGGTTATAAGGTATGGTTGCGCATAGAGATGGTGATCATGGAACATACCTTGAAAGCCGTGATCTTAAATACAGTTCCAAGTCGATGGATGTTTCGAGATGGGATATCGAATAATCCATAAAAGACTTGCACATAGTTTGTATGCTTGTTGGACAAGAATGTTGCATTCCATCAACATTAGCGTAAGACGTAAGTACATTTATGTGGGTGCTTGTTAGAGAACAAGTTCACTGAACATGACCGTATGAAAATTCTTAATGAAGAATTTATTCAGTCGAATAAGAATTTTCATGTTACAATAGTACATGACTAATCCTAAGACTTGAGGCACAATGGTAACTTTGTGCATATTACATTCTACTTTGATTTATCCTTTTGGTAGCTAGCACTATCGTTTAAAGGGATAAGTTGGGTATTATGTTAATATGTATGGAAGTTTGTTAGTGGCCAATAAAGGATTCGACACTTATGAAGATAAGTGAATTTCCTATGTGTTTCATAGTTATTAATCCAAAGTCCTTGGCCAAGGCAGAGATGAATAGTGATTCATAACCGGGTTAATAAACATGAAATAGAATCATAGTTATTAAGTCAATTTGGGTTTCGACAAAATCATACCCAAGACTTAATCGGGAAATTAGATGTCGAAAGGATTTTACATGTATGGAGTTGTAATCGGAATAGGTTTACTCGCTATTCACTTAATACTAGATTCATGCTACTTGCTAGGTGTTACCATGATATGTGGGTTCATAAATTAAAGGGTTAATTCATGAATAAGAGTTAATAAGATTTAACTCAAATTACAAAGTGTTGTAAACCCACTACTAGTATTAAGGTGAACCTAAAAGGTCACACTAATTATGAACAAAGGTAAAGATTGTATTTCTAATGGTTAGAATTAATTGATAAATATCTAATTTGATTAGATATCAATTAAAGGAATATATTAATCAATAAGATTGATTAATTACATTTTGGATATTACTTTAGTAATTAAGGTAATTACTAAATTAATAAAGTTGAATTTTAAAATAGGATTTTAAATTTCAAAAATCCAAAATAATAATAATATGATTATTATAATATTGGGAAAATGATATAATAATAAAGTCTTGAGAAAGATTCTCAAGATTTATTATCCAATTATTATTTATATCTTTAAATATGATTTAAGGATTAAAATAATAAATATGATTATAATAAAATGGTTGTTGATGGTTGTTTGAACTACTTAACATATCTTATTATTTTCAAAGTCAAAAGTTAGTAAATACTATTTAAATAAAATTTGATTTTATTTAATATTACTAAATGTTGATTATTTTATGCTAAAATGTTTAGTATAAATATATGCAAAATGGTTTTGCATTTAAGTGAAGTTTTTGATCCTAAATTTCTAAGTGTTAGAAAGAGAAGAAAGTGTTCTTCATAAAACTTCAAGAAAGAGTTCTTAAAATTCCCAAATAAAATTCATAAATATTCCTATACAAGAAAACCGAGTCTTTTCTACTAGCGAAGGAAAGTCGTCGGAACCGGGCTTCATAGGGTGGATACGTTTAGAGGGAAGACACTTGGATTCCTCTAGCGAGTAACCTCAAGTCGTTGAAGTTACAACCGGGAACCGATTCCCTCATCCATCATCAATAGTGAAGGAGTTCAAGAAATTCGGTAAATATTTTTACTAGTATTTACTTTATAGTAACAAATCAAAATTTGTATATGATGCATGTTTTAAAGATGACGATCAGTTAATTCGCAATTAGTATGTACGGGTGTTGTATTTATACGATAAATACTTACTTTAAAAATTTTAAATTCCGCTGCGTACAGCCCGTACGGTACTATCGAACCCAACAATACTTTCCGCGGACTTTCATATATTATATCACCTTATGCTTCTAGCATTAAGGAGTTAATCATTTCCTAGAAATTTTGCTTACTTTGTGGTACATTTAGATATATACAAATTGTTCACTCCATTATTACTATAAATTTCATTTGGCAGAAATATAATATGAACTTCAGGTTCAATTGCGTGGTTTTCAGATAATGAAAATATTAATATTTCAAATATTTTACGGCATTAATAAATTTATGCTCATATCTTCCCCTAATGCCGTTAAATATTGTCGCACAATACGTACCAAATAATAAATTGACCCTCTATAATGGCCTCTAGGTATTAAGAATCTGACGGAGTATCATAGCATACCTAGTTTATAATATTGGCCCATAAAGGTACGAATTGGTGGTGATATAAGATTGTGCATAATAATAAATCGCAGATGAGAAATGTTCAATTTTCCACGCATCATTTTGGGGAAAATAATTGTACGATATGATTCAACTGCTCATGCTAATTATCAAATATATAAGTTGAGCATCAAAATATACTAAATTATAAATAATATTATTATAAATCATTTTTTTCTTTTTTGAAAATAATATTATTATAAATCATTATATTATATATTCAAAATAATTTGTTATAAATTGGACGTTAGAATAAAAAAAAATCATTCAACTGAAGTTTTGGAAATAAAAAAAAATCATTTAACTGAAGTTTAGGAAATAAAAAAAAAACCATTTAACTTAATGTTTTACAATAAAAAAAACTCATCCAAATGAAGTTTAGCAAATAAAAAAAAACCATTCAACTTAAAAATGGAAAAAAAAAGTACAATTGATGCGATTTTCGCTTGCTCTGTAACACGAACATATGTTCCCACGCTTCGAGACAAGCTCGTTCTCCTGAGTCGACCCGTCAGACTCTCAGGAGAACGAGTATGTCTCGAAGCGTAGGTGTAACACCCCGCCTTTTCTAACTTTTACTTACGAAAAACTGAGTAAAATTTTCGCGTTTGTTTTCGAAAGATGCTGATACTGTTTTTGAAAAATACTTATACTTAAGAGAAAATTGATATAAAATCCAGCTAAAGAATATAGATAAGAGAAAATTAAACATGCATGCATACTAGTTCTAGGTTGGCAGTACGGAAGCGTAAATAAAATACAATACAGACTGAAAATTATATTATTACATGCCAACATAAACATAAACATAATTGAATGTCCAGCTGTCTTCGGACACCACCACACCACCGCTCGGCTCATGCTCGGTTGGACTCCGTCACCTGAGAAAAACATAATGGGGGCGTGAGAAAAACCACTATGCTCCGTAGAAACCAACACTGAATTCACACCCCGACTTCTAGTGTGTCGGGTGCTAGAACCATCATAATAGTCATCGAACGCCTCGTCGTCGTCCCTGGCAGAAGATTGTCCAGGTCTGCTAACACCCTGAATCAAAAATATAATTAGTAATTTTTTCATATGTAATAATTATTGCAATAACTATTAAAATAGTAATTAATTAATTGTAGTTTTAATTTATAAATTTTATTATTATAATTTATAATTAATTATAATTTATAATTATAATAATTATTATTATAATTATTATTATTTAAAATTATTATTATAATAATAATTATTATAATTTATAATTATTATTATAATTATTATTAGAAATTATTAATATAATTAATTATTATTATAATTAATAATTGTTATTATTAAAAAAATTAATCCAAAATGAAACCACATCAGCCACGTCCACACAACTGTCCACACAAGCACCGACACAGTCACACACTGCCTTTTGTTCACTCTCACCTGATCCATGTCCGCTCCAAATTCCGCCACCCCAAATTTTCCGGCGAACAATACTAAGAATGCCAGCTGAAGGTCAAGTGCGATCAAAACCCTAGAAACTGAGCACACTGATCAATCCTCGACGCTGATCGATTGTCGAAAGGGAGTAGAAAAAGCAAATTAAATTAATAGAAAAATAAAAGAATTGGAGGTTGTTTATCATCCGGACTCGGCCAACCGGCGAAGCGGGCCCGCCATCGCAGTCGGTGACCCGGAGTCTCTCCCCGAGGGAGGAACACGGCGGCGGTGGTGATAGCACCAAGATGAAGTCACTGTTCAAGTCCAAGCCCAAAACCCCGGTCGATTTGGTGCGGCAGACGCGCGATCTGCTCGTCCTCGTGGATCGCGGCGGCGCGGACGTCAAGGAGATCAAGCGTGACGAGAAGGTGTGTTTCGTTTCAGTGTTTTTATGGCGTATTGTTTTGTTTGAGGAGATTGTGTTTGGGGATCTGTCGTTAGTTTGTATGACATTATGATGGATTTTATATCTCAAATCGATAGGGCTGTTACTTTTGCAGTAAAATTGATTCTTCTGTTTGCTCAATTGAATCCTTTTATTTGAGGTTTATGTTTACCATTTGGGGCTTTGAAGGTGTAAGTTAGAGTTCTTGCCTGTTGCTTTATATTCTATTGTTGCTCTTGTTGTTGGGTTGATTGTAATCTGTAAGCAGGTTGGGTACTGATGTTTTGGGTCTTTGAGGCTTTTAAGTTGAGAAAAATACCCTATTAAGTAGGTTAAGTTTTACTTGGTAACTGCCAGATTTAATGGGATACTATCCTTTTGTAATTTATCATACAATTTTCATCTAAGAAACTATTTGTTTTGTTTTTGTGGTGTTTTTCGTGCCTTAGTCGAGTATTTTTAGTTTCATTTTAGTGTTGACTGGTCTATTTTGTCGTGTTTCGTATAGTTTTGCTTTCATTGTATGTTTTTGTGTTTTGACGTATTTTCTCTTCTCTTTTGGTGTTGATTAGGTCCATTATGCAAAGTTCGGGAAGATGTGCCGTCCGAGCCACCCGAGCCATAGCCGAGCCATTTGACCGAGCCGTCCGAGCTGTCGAAGCCATCATCCGAGAGAGAAAATTGAGACCCGCGCGTTCACCGAGCACTCGCGTGCGAGACACAACCCGCGAGACCCCGAGGCGCAAGCAACACTCGCCGTGAGACATTGTCCGCGACGACGCGAGTGAAGACCCGACGAGACCTAGCACTCGCTTGCGGACGCCAAGTCGCGAGCTTGCGAGACCCATCCGCGCGCGACCGTGCACTCGTCAGCGAGCCATCACCCGCGAGCTCGTGAGAGACCTGACCATCATGCCACACTCCTCAGCGACTTCCTGTTCGCGACCGCGCGAGCCTGGACCCGAAGAGACCCGACACTCGCTAGTGAACGACCGTTCGCGACCGCGGGAGTCTGGGCGCGAGAGACCTGTCCAGGACGAGAAAGCACTCATTGCGAAATGTGGTCCGCGACCTTGCGGTTGAGCTCATTAAATGTTTGTGAAAGAATTGTGTGTTTTGGGAGTAGTATAAATACAATGATTCTGAAAACCGAACCGGTGAAACTACTGGTTTAATGGTTCACTGGTCGGACCAACGGTCGAACCTGTCTAACCGGTTTAATTAATATATAATTTATTTATTTATTTTGTATGTATAATATACAAAAATATATATTTTTATCATTAATTTTATAGTGTATGACATTATTCTAAATAATAGCCCAATACTAGATACAACCAACAATGTTGAATAATGTTGTTAACTTTTTTTTAATTTAATTTTTATATTTAAGATTTTAATCTATATTTAAGTTACAAATTGGAGAGAATAGAACAACCCAATTTTTATTTTAAATCACATTTCAAATTTTTTTATTATGGATTAAAATATAAAAAATAAAAATAATGTGCACAACAAACAACAATAAATTGCTTCTTTTTTTCTAAAAAGATAAATTGAAAAGAGATATTAGCCCAATAGATAGTCCACTTCAAAAAACAATACATTTTTCTAATGAATACAATTTTGCTTGTTAGATCCAATATTGGCCCAATATTTCAGCAATGAAACATATCCCACATAGGAAACATAAGTAAAAAAAGTGTGTTATTTAAATCACTACACAATCAACTAATTTCAAATTCATAAGCTTGAACCGGTGAACTATTCGAACTGATCCCGGTTCACCGGTTCAACCGGTTTTGGACCGGTTCGAACGGTTCTTGACCACTTCTCATGATTGGCGGTTTGATGGCTTAAACTGAACCGGAATGAAGGCTGGTTCCTGGTTCAACCGGCTGAACTGACCGGTTCAGTCTGGTTTTTAGAACCATGATAAATACATTTGTTCCCTTTGTGTGGGGCACCTTGAATTCATTTATTTCTTTTTCTCTTTTTGGAAATACTCTCTTTTCATTATTTTGCTCTAGTCTAAGCTTGTGGAGGTTTAAACTCGATTTTTCCAGCGATTTTCAGGCTATGTTTTCTTATTAAAGTTTCAACCTTTCATATCTATTGCGCTCGACAATGCATAGAGAAGTAAGTATCTAGTCTTAGGACTTATTATCTCGTTTATTGCTCTAGTTTTGCTTAGTTAGTTTTAAGAGGTAAAATTAGTTCCTCGATCGGAATGTGTGTGTTGGGCTCGGTTCTCGTTAAAGTTTTCATATTTTGTTTTGTGTTGCTTGCCTAGGATAATTAGTTGGTTAAAGATTGAATCTTTCGAGGTAAAAGTAGAGACTTTGATTAAAGATCAATTAGTTCGTAATTCATTGGTCAACTTTAGCTTCTAGTCATGTTAGGCTTAGCGTATTTCTCTTTGTTTGAGTCTTTTCTCGGGTTTGAACACTTCGTTGCAAGTGAAGTCTAGAATTTTCTTCAAAGCTCTCATCTTGCATTAATTGCTCTTAATTCTTAGTTAATTTTAGTTCAAAAATCAATCCCTAAGTCGTGCTTAGAATGTCTAGGATTTTATTTTTCCTTTTTATGTTTTCTACGACTAATGTGTAAACGAAACTCCGAATCACCTTCCTTCGAGAACACGACCCGAGGGTGATCTTTTGATCGTACTCGGCTAAAAACAACTTAACAGCAGCGCGCCACCTCTAATCTCTCAATTCTTCTCGATTCCTTTCTCCTTGGCGTCATTATTCCCAATCTCAATCTTTTTCTTTTATACATTTCTTCTTCAGCGAGAAAAAAGCATAAGCACTCAAAATGGTGAAAATCGGTCCCTCCCCACATCGGAAGCAACCCCACCCGCGGTGAAGGGGACGATCCACAATTGAGTTCTAGTTATCGTATCTGCCAGACTAAACTTAATGTTGGTCGGAAGATCGTGTAGAAGAAGCTTCAATTCTATAAAAAATTTAAGGTTTGTGGCAAAAAAAATCCTGCAATAATTGTGGCAAATTTACGGCCAGTACAACCCCCTCCGACAACATCGACGAAATTCCCTCGTCAAAGAAGCGAACACGGAGGAAGAGGAAGTCCAACACTATTGCAAAATTAAAAACCCGAGAACGATTCTAATTTTGTTGAAGAAGAATAATTTTACATGGACTAGATGAAAATTGACGAAGATATCGTTGAAAGCGATGAGTTGACCAGACAGAAAAAAAAAATGAATGACAAAACCGATTAGGTCGACAATTATAAGAAAAAAAGGTCAAGGCTTAACGATTAGCGACAAAATTTGTTCAAGACGAGCATCACAAGTTTTCAATATATTTTCAGTGTATGTTGCAATTTTATTTGCATAACATTTTTTTATCTAACCACAATTGTGATGTTTGAATTTTGTTCATATTTTTCGCTTAATTTTATACCAACGAGCTATACAACATTGATATTATAAAAAAAAGATATACATACCATATACAATTTCTTTTGTTGCTAAAAAAGAAGAATTTGACATGGGCAAGATATATATAAATTGACGAACATTTCATTGAAAGCGATGACCCAACAAAAAAAAACAAAAAAGAAAAATAAATGAGAAAATCGGCCAGGTCGGCAATTAAAAGAAAATGAGGTCAAGGCTTAACACCGAGCATTAAAATCTAGTGTTAGGCGGGTATTAGAATAATTTTAGTATATGTTGATTTTACGGTTAAAATATTTTACTAGTTTTTTTGTAAACCTAAAATTCGGTTTATACTGGGTTTATAACATGTATTTATTTATATATAAGTATATATGTACAATTTGTTGTTTTTTATTAGTAGAAGAAGAGGAAAATAAAAGAGGTTTTATTTGATGTTTGTTATTGGTCACGTTTGGTAGATAGCGGATTGAAGATAAATTAGCGGATTGGACTTAATTGAGAGGTTTGATCCGTCAAATCCGCTATTGAGCTTGTTTGGTAAATAGCTTATTTGATAAGCTTTTTGAGCCCAAAACTCTAATTTAGAAAAAGCTCATTAGAGCAGCTTTTTGGAATAGAGGATTCACAATTGAGAGGTTTTACTTAGAACTTTTTAATTTGTCTTATTTATTTTACAATCTACATTGGTTTATAGAGCTATTAAATAATAATATGTCATCCATATGATTGATTTATCTAGAAAAATATAAAATTCAAAACTTATTCATCAAGTGTTAGTAAATTTAAAAAAAATATATATATTTATAAATTACCAACTAAAGAATATTAAATGTTTTAATATATCATTATTAAAAGAGTACACCCTAAATAATAAAATGTCCTTATTGGTCATTTTGCAATGTCAAACAATTATAAGCTTTCAGCTATTTACCAAACACTTATTCAAAAACCGCTAATGCAATCCGCTGGTCAAATCAGCTAATATAATCCGCTATTCGCTATCCGCTCATACAATCCGCTATCCGCTATCTGCTATCCGCTGATCGCCATAGAAGTGGACTTCTGAAAATAGAAACTAGAAAATAAGTCTTATACTAGTGAAAGCCTATAAGAACTTAATTTATACAGAAAATGTAACTATTTACATAATATTTATCTCTACACAATTTTCGAGTTTGTTGCGTTGATAGTCAACAAACTTGAATCAGAAAAATAATATGAAATTCAAATTACTTTCAAATTTCAGTGTTTTTTTAATTCAAACTTCAAAATGCTGCTTTTTAGATTCTATCATTGTGATTGTACTTACCATGTAATGTTGATTTGTTTTTATTTTTATTATGGAATAATACCGTATATTACAAATTCTCTCTTGATGTAATTTGGAGAGAATATTTCCATCAGTTACTTACCATGTAATGCTTTGTTTTTTATTATCTACAAATCGTCGACATATTTAGCTTCAATCGATAGATGTGCAAATAAGTTTTTCATTCAGTGTATTTGCAATTTTTTAGGGAAGATGCAATATGTATGTAAATGAGCCCTTTAAGTTTGGGTCCATATACATTACCTCTAATATATACACAAATAGTACATATTTTGGGTCAGCGTAATTAAACGAAACAAATAGTATGATCATTTTT